CATTGTCTGATGTTCTCTATCCGTCACAATACATATTTAGTACTTGTTTTTACATTTGAAAGCAATTCAATTTTTTTGAAAAAATTAAATCGTTTAAATCTCACTCTATTTGACCTCGGAGAGGTTTCAAAACACATTGTATGATGTTCACTACTGTAAACCAACTTTTATTCGCGTGCGAGAAATATCCGCGAGTTCCGCGACCTTCTTTATCTCGCGAATATTAATAGCCGCGAACCATTCATTTTGCTAAGAATTTGTAGCGAATGTTTCCTCGGTCGTGGAAATTAATCGTCGCGGATTCATTTTAAACTGACGAATCGCGAATAAAAGATGACACGAATAATAGTTGGTTTACAGTATTTGTCAAAATACATATATGGTACTTAATTTTACATTTCGAAGCAATTTAAATTTTTTGAAAAATTTAAATCGTTAAAATCTCACTCTATTTGACCCTTGAGAGGTTTCAAAACACATTGCATGATTTTCACTATCTGTCACAATACATATATAGTACTTAATTTTACATTTAGAAGTAATTTAAGTTTTTTGAAAATTTTAAATCGTTTAAATCTCACTCTATTTGACCTCGGAGAGGTTTCAAAACACATTGTATGATGTTCTCTATCTGACAAAATACACATATAGTACTTTATTTTACATTTGGAAGCAATTTAAATTTTTTGCAAAATTTAAATCGTTTAAATTTCACTCTATTTGATCTCGGAGAGGTTTCAAAACACATTGTATGATGTTCTCTATCTGACAAAATACACACATAGTACTTGATTTTACATTTGAAAGCAATTTAATTTTTTTGAAAAATTTAAATCGTTTAAATCTCACTCAATTGACCCTTGAGAGGTTTCAAACCACATTGTATGATGTTCTCTATATCTCACAATACAAATATAGTACTTGATTTTACATTTGGAAGCAATTTAATTTTTTGAAAAATTTAAATCGTTTAAATCTCACTCTATTTGGACTCTGAGAGGTTTCAAAACACATTGTATGATGTTCACTATTTGTCACAATACATATATGGTACTTAATTTTACATTTGGAAGCAATTTAAATTTTTTGAAAAATTTAAATCGTTTAAATCTCACTCTATTTGACCCTTGAGACGTTTCAAAACACATTGCATGATTTTCACTATCTGTCACAATACATATATAGTACTTAATTTTACATTTAGAAGTAATTTAAATTTTTTGAAAATTTTAAATCGTTTAAATCTCACTCTATTTGACCTCGGAGAGGTTTCAAAACACATTGTATGATGTTCTCTATCTGACAAAATACACATATAGTACTTTATTTTACATTTGGAAGCAATTTAAATTTTTTGAAAAATTTAAATCGTTTAAATTTCACTCTATTTGACCTCTGAGAGGTTTCAAAACACATTGTATGATGTTCTCTATCTGTCACAATACATATTTAGTACTTGTTTTTACATTTGAAAGCAATTTAATTTTTTTGAAAAATTTAAATCGTTTAAATCTCACTCAATTTGACCCTTGAGAGGTTTCAAACCACATTGTATGATGTTCTCTATATCTCACAATACAAATATAGTACTTGATTTTACATTTGGAAGCAATTTAATTTTTTGAAAAATTTAAATCGTTTAAATCTCACTCTATTTGACCTCTGAGAGGTTTCAAAACACATTGTATGATGTTCACTATTCGTCACAATACATATATGGTACTTGATTTTACATTTGGAAGCAATTTAAATTTTTTGAAAAATTTAAATCGTTTAAATCTCACTCTATTTGACCCTTGAGATGTTTCAAAACACATTGCATGATTTTCAGTATCTGTCACAATACATATATAGTACTTAATTTTACATTTAGAAGTAATTTAAATTTTTTGAAAAATTTAAATCGTTTAAATCTCACTCTATTTGACCTCGGAGAGGTTTCAAAACACATTGTATGATGTTCTCTATCTGACAAAATACACATATAGTACTTGATTTTACATTTGGAAGCAATTTAATTTTTTTGAAAAATTTAAATCGTTTAAATCTCACTCTATTTGACCCTTGAGACGTTTCAAAACACATTGTATGATGTTCATTATAGCTCACAGTACAAATATAGTACTTAATTTTACAATTGAAAGCAATTTAATTTTTTTTAAAAATTTAAATCTTTTAAATCTCACTCTATTTGACCTCTGAGAAATCATTATTTTAGTATAAAAATCTCAATCAAAAACTTATTTCATCTTGTCAAGAATCGGACGGAAGACACACTCGTTGCTCGCAACGAGATCGTATCTAGTTATTATTATTATTCTTTTTTTCTGCACAAATTTTGTGCCGACGATTTCTCAGAGATCTTTGGATCGATTTGTTTCAAATTTTCAGGGTTGGTCCAGAATAATCTGAAGTTAATTCCGGCTGAAGGATTTTTTGAAAATCACTTCCGGTCTAGAGTTATCACCCTTTTCTTAAAATTCAGACGACCTCCGTGTCTGTGATAGAACTCAATAACGGCTTAAGCTAGAGCGCTGAAATTTTCAGTGATAATAGAGGACATGTTGCCATGTTGCACCTGGGTCAGGATATTTTCCGGAAGTGTCTAGTATGGAAGCTCGGTAGGGGTCAAAATTTAGGACACGAATCATGACCGATTTTTTAAGACATTTTGCATCATATCTTTTAAAATATAATTATTTTGATAAAACATACTGAACAAAATTTGTGCAGAATGACAATATCTTTAGAATGATATCAAGAAAAAAGTGCTGAGTCACCACATTAAGGGCCAAAAGGGGCTTAAAGTGTTTTTTCGATAACTCTTTAAGAATCAATATTTTGTTATACATTACTGAAGCAAAAATGTTTATCTCAACAATCTACCACTGTGTATTATGATTTAAATGTAGTATAATACAAGATTAGGGGCCAAAAGGGGCCAGAATGCTAAATCTTTGACGCTTTATATCTCGAAAGTGAGAAATATTTTGACAAGTAATATTGAACAAAAGATGTTCAAAATCATGTTCTGAACAATATGCATCCTTTCATTTTTTGCTAAAAGTCCCCATTAGGGAGTTGAAGGGTTGGCCCCTAAATATTTCTTTTGCAAATAACTCGAAAACGAAAAGGAATCTCTGAATAGTTATTGAACAAAAAGTGTTCAAAATCTTAAGAGCTTTAAGAAGAAATCAAGAAAAAGGGGCTGGGCATTCAAATTAGGGGCCAAAAAGGGCTTAAAGTCTTTTTTCGATAACTCATTAACAGTCAATATTTTGTTATACATTACTGAAGCAAAAATGTCTATCTCAACAATCTACAGCTATATATCATAGTTTTTTTTATGACGTATGGTACAAAATTAGGGGCCACAAGGGGCCAGAATGCCAAATCTTTGACGTTTTATATCTCGAGAGTGAGAAATATTTTGATAAGAAATATTGAACAAAAGATGTTCAAAAACATATTCTGAGCAATATGCAATCTTTCATTTTTCGCTAAACGTCCCCATTAGGGAGTTGAAGGGTTGGCCCCTAAATATTTATTTTGCAAATAACTCGAAAACAAAAAAGAATCTCTGAATAGTTATTGAGCAAAAAGTTTTCAAACTCCTAAGAGCTTTAAGATGAAATCGAGAAAAAGGGGCTGGACACTCAAATTAGGGGCCAAGAGGGGCTAAAAGTCTTTTTTCGATAACTCTTTAACAGTCAATATTTTGCTATACATTACTGAAGCAAAAATGTTTATCTCAACAATCTACAACTGTATATTATGATTTTTATGTCGTAAATTACATAAATAGGGGCCACAAGGGGCCAGAAGGCCAAATCTTTGACGCTTTATATCTCGAAAGTGAGATTTTTTTTGATAAGTAAAATTGAACAAAAAATGTTCAAATCCATGTTTTGAACAATATGCAACCTTTCCTTTTTTGCTAAACGTCCCCATTAGGGAGTTGAAGGGCTGGTCCCTTAATATTTCTTTTCCAAATAACTCGAAAACGAAAAAGAATCTCTGAATAGTTGTTAAACAAAAAGTGTTCATAATCCTGAGAGCTTTAAAATGTTATAAAGAAAAAAGGGCTGATCCCTAATATTAGGGGCCGTGAGGGGCCAAAAGTCGATTTTAGAAGTCTTTATTGTTCAATGTCTTTTTACAGAATATGGAAAATCATTACTTTAGAATGGAAATCTCAATCAAAATCTGATCTTATCTCATCAAGAATCGAACGGAAGACCCACTCGTTGCTCGCAACGAGATCGTATCTAGTTATTATTATTATTGTATATTATTATGTATGTTTTACTTATTTGATGTCATGACCTATGAAAATGAAGAAAAAAAAATAGGTAGCATAAAGCCTTTGAATATTTTGAATCAGAGATTTACCCTTTTCTTTTATTTTCAACAATAATGAATAAACTTTCAACTTTATTAGAGTCTAACAATGTATGATTATGCATGACAAAAATCATGTGTATTTCATATAATTTTTTTTATTACATATGCAGACCCTGGCATTTTTTTCATATACATTATCGTAAAGGGACGATCATTTCTCGTGAAGGAGGGGGTATATATATATATATATAATATATATAAACAGTTATTATAATTAACAATTTCTGAGGAAAATATCAGTAGCGTAGTTATTAGATCATGCATATATTGAATGCAATAATTTTATTAGAGAATTGCATATCATATACCGTAAAGATAACAAAAAATCCTTTTAACTGTAACGTACAACAGACACTTTGACAATACAGATATAACCGTATATTTTTATTCGCAAACTTGTGTCAAAATGATTAAACATTCAAATTATAAATGATGCACATACTCTGAAGTGTTAAAACAGTAATGTTAAACGAACAATAACGCTGATTTTGCAGGGAAATCTGGGATAAAAAATTATTTAAGGAATCACTGTCTAGTTAGTATAGTATGCCAGGGCATCAACGATAGTGGGAAACATGGGATAATTTGCATAATGGGCAAAGCCCGTTATGCATAAATTATCCCATGTTTCCCACTATCGTTGATGTCCCTGGCATACTATACTAACTAGACAGTGATTCCTTATATTTCCATTTCATTGTGAAATAAAATTGTAGATTTAGATTTTAAAAATGTAGTAATAGATTTAAATTACACGAAGACTCCCATCATGATGCCAATTTCAATAGTCCTCGCCCACTGACGTCAAACACAAAGGTAGCCACACGTGATTTACATTCATATTTGGTCTCCTTAGCTTCAGAGACAGATGCGCACGAGATTTGCACGCACATTAGGCCTCCTTAGCTCCTGACATATCGACCTGCCTAATTTACATTTCGGAAGAATGATCAAGAAATCAACTCCGCTAACTTTCAAAGAGTTATCACAGAGAAAAAAATTAGAAATGGAAATATATATGAACACCAGTATATACTATAGTAGTACAGTAACACAGTGCATTTCTGTTACAATATCCCGACCATGTGGGCTTCGACAGCTTTATACACCAGCGTGACTCTAAAATGAAAAAAAAAATCAGTTCGTGACAATGCATTCGAGGTGCTGCAGATTGGAATAATTACATCATATGGTTTTTTTAACTGTGGAAAAATTTGAATTGTCGTCTAAGTTTGCTTTATTTTCTTTTAACTGTGTTAACATGTCCACATACGAAAATAGAGTACCCCTCACCAAGTGCAGGGATTATCTTGGGTGGGCTTCAATAATTACTCGTATTATGATAAGTTTTTCTGACCGTCTCATATCTTACCTGTAAATCTTTTTTAGAGTTAAGTAATGTAAAAAAAATTATTATAATAAAATTACAAACTAAAAAAAATCTCATTGTTGCAAGTCAAGGGTTTTCGTATCCTGAATGTTTTTCTAAGAATATAATGGACAAAAAAAAAAAAAAAAAAAAAAAAAAAAAAATCGATGCTTGCAACGATGATCAGATTTGACAAACTGACGATATTTTGGTGCACTATCCACTTTTATCCAACGGGACACCCCCCTTCCCCACATGTACCGCAAGAGGAAGTACAGTAATCGAATAACAATTAATATTTAACCCTTCAATGCACAATTATTTAATATTAAACCCTTCAATGCACGATTTCGCTATTGGTTTCAATAACCAATGTAATGTAGAATCCGTCAAAATAGATTGTTCACCTTGATTTAGGAATTCCGAGAGTGTTCGAAAAGAATTCCATAAACTTTTCCGTGTATCCCGGATTTTTGTCGGCGCTAAACACCCCTATTGAATGAATCTCAATCAACACACAAGGCGAAGTATCTTCGTTCCTACACATACGTTTGCCAGGATTCAAAATAACATGAATTCTCTGGAAAGAGGAAAATTACAAAAAAAATTGAGATGGGTTATAGAATATGTACTTAATTAAAGAATGTCAATAAACAGCAAAGAACAACAATTGAAAAATTGCGTTCCCCACGAATGCTTACCTTTTTTTCTGTCACATTAAATATAATTTACACAATTACATAAAAAAAAATAACAACATTGTCTGGCATGAAAAGTGCAGCTCATATGGCTTTAAGCTTGAAATATATGGATGAAGTTCAAATATGACGAGATCTATTTTCACATATAAACTAAAATGTACATCATGCAATCTGATTAAAATCAGACCTTTGTTACGCTCGAAATTCTGATGGTCTCTGTATAATCCCTCAAAAATAAGTATTAATAAGATATTTGTAAAATCACCAGCATGATTTTGGAGCGGTTTTTATCAGATTGATGTACAGTTCAGACGATTTTTATCCCTATCAAGGTATCGTACATACATGTATATTATTATGTCCCAGTTGATGACCTGCCTTTGTCCATTTCCCCCAAAATATGGTCAGAGATATTGAAAAAAAGAGTACCTCTTTGGGTTTGTTCAGAACTTCTGACACACATCTGGAGGTATTAATCTCGAAATCTGCAGCGACTTTCTCGTCCTTTAGATTAGTGTACACAAATATCATCGGCATTTTGACTTCCCGGTATCAACTTTTCAGTGCGAGAGTATAGATTATAATCTAGCTCACATAATACATATATGGTGTACCATGTACTGTGTATTCAAATTATCTTTACTTGACTTTAAGTTCTTTAAAGACAGCTAGATACATAAATCTTTTATCAAAATTCCTGAAAATAACAACCTATAAGTTATATTTTACATGTGCGGATTTAGAGGGTGGGTGTAGATAAAACATTTTATCGCTAAAATGATATTGTCCTACGGACCCGGTGAGGGCTTCTCCCGAGACATACATTATTCTAACAAGGGGAGTGGGGGTGGGTGGGTGTCCGTTCGCAGAAAGCACTAATCAAACTCTCAAAATTCACCTACAGATCATTTTTCAATTTCCAACAATTACATGTACTGATTTGTTATGGTGGATTGAGACACGTGGTTAGGCGTAGTAGAAAGCAATCGGTGGCGACAAAATAACTGTACATGTAAACTCTCCCACAGCAGGAGAGAAGATACCACAGAACTACAAAATAGTTGCACAGCAAGCCAGCACATAGTGATACAGTATGCAGTCGTCCTTTACACGCTGGTGCCCTGACAATAAAGCAATCAGGTGTAACAAATGAGTAAGGTATACATTAGTGCTGATATCGAAGATAGAAAACTCTTAATATGGCATATGCCTATTTACGAGTCCCTAAGTAGCTTTGTCTTTGCCGTAACTTTTGTTCATCCCGATAACTCAGACAACGAAATTAGAGGGGGGGGTTCTTTGAACTTGCTTGTTGTATACTCGTGTAAGCAACTCTTTATTATTTGTCTACAGCCCACTGGGCATACAGAAAAGTTAATCACAGTCATCGATATAATCAAAAGATAAAAGTTACAATAGCCAAAAGTTTGTCGAGAACAATTTTATTTTATTCAACATGAACAGTAAAATCAAAACAACTTTTGTATAGAAAACAAGTTCTTCATAATTTAACAAGAGGTCCATAATGCAAAATACAATAAAACAGACTCAATAGGGAGACTACCGGGGTACAATACTCCTGAACAGTATGACAGCATAACATATTGCTTCTAATAAAGAAAAGAAGACTTTAGAATGTAAGAAATTATGTTGCTCTTGTTTTGATAGTATGTTATTTTGCAAAGTTTTATACAATCCTAACATAGCTTTGAAATCTTCAAAACAAAAAAAGCTACATACAGTGTATATGTACATGATCTGTTCAATTTTTTTTTTTTTTGTAAATAGCAATGTTTGCAAAAATATGCCAATACATTGAAACTTAATCAACGATGAGTTTTTTTGTTTTTGTTTGTTTTGACTGTCCATAAGATTTCAAAGAGGTACTTTATCTATGTAATTTATATGGTAAACTGTTGTTGACAATGCTTGTAAAGAAAGTTAATATTTGCTTGTTGAATAAAAAAATGTTATAATAGCATGGTTCATAATGTATAAAAACCAACTTGAAAAAATAAAATTTGTACATTGTACATGAAATAATAAAATTTCATAATTCAATAACAGACTATTAAATAAAATAAATATTAACTAATATACAGAGCCAACTCTTAAACAAAATCAGCATATCAACAGCATTTTCAAGGAGGTATAACACAATTGTAACAATCATTACATTTAGTGGAAAAAGGAGACAAAATGTGCATAATTATAAATGTGGTATTTAACACCAATTATTTGTTTTTAAAGTGTTAAATAATTTATAATTACTTTGTTTGATATAAAAATCACTGTTAAAAAAATCCCATGAGATTGAACATATTGTGCAAACAAATTATTTTCTCCTTGTTAATATACAAGCAACAGAATAATGTGACAAGCACATCATAACAATGAAGAATAAAGAACATTAACAATCAACAACGGTCCTAATTACCTTTCTTAAAACATAGATAACACAAAAACCAAGTATTTGTACATGATTTCATTCATTATTATATTTTGTCTCATGATATGTCATGCCTTAAACAAGAAACAAGTGTAAAAATAGCTTTAAACCATAGCATGCAACAAACCCTATCAGTTATCATTTGTACAACTCATTTAAATCACAAATAATGGATGCCCACAGACTGGTCTTTCTGCCTGATCTTTAGAAATTGTGTCCCCTCTGGATAAGCATCTCTCCGTAAGGTTCCCTCTGGTCAACATATACATTCCCTTTGGCACATAAGTCTAAGGGGAAAATTTAATAAATATATTATCTTAAACTGCCCCAAGTGAAAATTTTTTCAAACAAATCACTTGCAAATTGCCTACAAATTGCTTTAAAATCATTTTAAAGTGATTTGTTTCAGTGATTTGTGTACGATTCATCTAACAAATCATGCTTAAACCACTTTCTACTAAAATGACGACTATGATTTGCTTACAATTTGTTATGAAAGGGTGATTTGCTTGTGATTTCTTTCCCATTTCAGACAATTTCTGAGTGATTTGTTAAACTTAGAAAATTGTAACAGTGATTTCTTCATGATTTGTTGAACTTAGCCATTCTTCAAGGTGATTTGAAAATGATTTCTGGAACTTAGTCTTTCTTCAAAGTGATTTGAAGATGATTTGTTAACTTAGTCTTTCTTCTGAATGATTTGTAAATGATTTGTTGATCTCATGGTCCTTCTTCAGAGTGATTTGAGAATGATTTACTTCTTAACTTCCGCCTGGCTTGCTGATTGGTCAGTATTAGAAACTCTACCGCCAATTTTCATTAATCAGATTTGAATTAAATTGAAAGCTAGGAGCTAGATTGTGCTGTTCTAGATTCATACCTCTCTTCTTTTGCTGAAACTGATGTTTTTTCCATAACCATGCAGAATATAGTTTTAAGGTATGTTTTACTGTAACTATGCTATCATTTCCTCCTTATATTTAGTTAATATTCCATAAAATATGTTCACATGCAATTTATTGTTCTTCTATCAACAACAAAGTCGGTGGCAATTAATGTTTAAAACAAAATCTATGTAAAGCTATAAGCTTCAGCAAAGTACAGGCTTTTTCAAAGTGTCTAGACAAATATTTATTTCAGATAACTAAAAGTCAACAATTAATGCTTATATGTCATGTTCTGAATTTGGAGCCAAGTACATGAAGTACATGTGTGTATATCTAAAGTACATGATGCCATCTTAATGATGACACAACCTAGTAAAAGTCTATATTTTAAAATACTCTTGCCAAAAGTTTTTTGTTAATATACAACAAATACTGGTATACATGCATGTGTGTTTATAATATTTGAGGGATGGTTACATGAGCATACAAGTGTACAAGTGTGTATCCACCTGGAGTGATTTGAAAGTGATTTGTTAAACTGAAGTGATTTGCTTGCAATTTATTAGGAGTGATTTGTTTGCAATTTATTCAGAGTGATTTGGTTGCGATTTGTTCAACAGAAGTGATTTCTACATGATTTGTTCAAAGTGATTTCGTTATGATTTCAGGGTGATTTGCTTACAATTTGTTAGGAGTGATTTGTTAGCTCATTTGCATGGGAATTTGCATCACTTACAAATCATCTTCAAATCACTGATTCATAAGTGATTTCTTAAAGTGATTTGTTTGAGGATTTTTTTCACTTGGGGCATTGCTTTAAATATGAACATTTTAAATGGAATAATAACTTTTAAAAAACAAGCATGTACATGTATATTATATATGTATGCTCATAGACAGGCCTTCTATTTTCAACTTTAAAGACATACAACTCCAGAATATGAATTCACAAGAGATACAGGGTATTGTAAACAAGTTTGAATAAGACTGAATTCAAGCCAGATCAGTGTCCAAATCACGAAGTATGAGAAAAACAATACATGTATTTTGTAGATTGATACTAACGAAGCAAGGCGTTGAACATGGAGGCTGCCAGTCTTCTGTCATAAAAGTGTGGTGGGCAAACTTCCTCAAATGTTGTGTAGTCCTTCTCACTTGTGTTTGAGTTGATTAACCTGAAATTAAAAGAGAAAATATTTGATTACGAATGTCAATCCTAAAGAATGCCCATAAACTATGGGGACAACAAGAAAAAAAAAAAGAAAAAGCAAAATCTTATTTTAATAAATAATTTGTTTGTTTATATATACCTGAGAACTCTACTTTCTACTTGTGAGAGTTTGGAGATGACAGGTAAAGGTGTGTCCACCATAGGTATCTCGGACTCCTCCTGCACCACCGACAGATTTCGACTGATCCTGGAGAACGTGTCAGACACGGAGTGTTCTGAGGGGGGGACCAGAAGCTCCTCCTCAATAGATCCCCGAGATCGACTCCGCTTTTTTCGACTAGAAAAAGGTTAAATAGAATAGTTGCCATTTAGATTTATCAAACATAAAACTGCTTACAGCAAGAAATTTATTTAAAACAATCAATTCCTCAAATAATATATATTTTTATCCATAATACAAAACATAATAACAAGGGACTTTTTAACGCGCAAGAAAAATAACATCATATTTCTAAGTACTACGTCATCAGTTTCAGAGAGTGGTGATATGGATTCAGAAAACCACAGTGTGGTGATCCGGAGTCGGATCACGACATCACATGATTGCATAAAATCAACTACAGTAAAATTGAGTGATACACATTAGGTATATAATAAATTTTATATCAAATTTCATACCAATATGTGCAACCTTGGTGAAGAAAATGGAAACTGATGATGGACTGACAGTAAGACAGCAGCAAAGCAATATGTCCTCCCAGGGGTAGACAAATGCAATTTTGCAGTACTTGCCCTCGGACAGGTTACTATCGTAAAACTACCTGTCCTACCAAAAAATATGCTTGTCCCACCTTTTTCTTAAATAACATAGAATTGAAGTATTGATATTGAATTATTTCTTGAGTGAGACACCTAAACAATACACTAAGACCAACACAGATCTATAAAATCACGAATAAACCAATATACAAACAACACGAGCCAAGTCTGTGAACAGAACACTACTGCGTGTGATTGATAGATCGACACCACGGGTGTGTGATTGCCAGGGAACAGCAATCAACAACAAATCTAATACCACTAGGCACTAACATCTGTATTCACAGTATGAATTTAATATTTTGACAATAAATGTCTAAATTCCCATACCATATTTTTGACAACATCTGTAACTCCATGTTTTTAGACATCTGCATATTTTAACAATATGTTAATTGGTAAAATATAGAGAAGTTCCGACTATTCAATGTACTCATATGCAGTGATGCAATGGTCAACAGCATTGAAAACAAGTGCTTTACAGTGATTCATGATACTTTTAAAGCAATAACGCAAAATATATTTGAGTATATCAGACATGATTTTTTTTTGGTTAATTGGAAAATCACTTGTCTGCGGGCAGGCATGTGTTATAAAATTACGTGCCCACCAACCAAAACTGGTTGTCCCGGGCGTCGGGCAGTGCTAATTTTGTGTAGCCCTGCCTCCCTTCTTTGATTGATTGATTGTATACTGTTTAACGTCTCTCTCCAGAATATTTCACTGATATGGAGACGTTACCATTGCCGGTGAAGGGCTGCAAATTTAGGCCTATGCTTGGCACTTACGGCCGTTGAGCAGGGAGGGGTCTTTATCGTGCCACACCTGCTGTGACACGGGGCCTCCGTTTATACGGTCTCATTTGAAGGACCGCCCCATTTAGTCGCCTTTTACGACAAGAAAGGGGGTACTGAGGACCTATTCTAACCCGGATCCCCACGGGAATCCCTTCTTTGAAGGGGGGCATAAAAATATTTCTTGAAAATATCAATGTGCTTAAATGAAGATCATTATAAACACTTCAAGAGCTTGGCTGTAAAATAAGAACAATTAACGAATCCCTCCCCCTTCCTTTAATTTAACTGATACTTTACCTGGCAGTAGACCTATCAGACAGGGAGTCATCTTTACTTCTGGCAGACAGGTGGAGCTGGATAGGGGTGGTGTCCTGAAGACTCCTCTCCAGTGATATCGAGGCGTCGCGGGGGATCTCCATAGATGGCATTTCATTCTATCAAAGATGCAAATTAATCAATTAACAAATGTTTAAGTTAAATATCTGCAAAAATGTGTAGTTAGATACACCGATTCTTTCATTGCTTGCTCATCTCCAACCAAAAACAACTCTTATTTGATCAACTTATACTGACAGATTTTCCAATTACATGTAATTATATAGTAAAAGAATATTTTCAACTGTTATGAAAAATTATATAAAAATTTTGACCTTTTTCTTGAAATCACACAACTTGTGCTTAAGATTCATTGTGTCACTATTTATATGGATATTTTTTTACTTACTCCCATACTAATATCCGCCCTGACTTTTTCAGGAGAGGCTCTGTCTAGCTGTATGGGGATTTCTGGTTGTGGGAGCTGTATTTCTGACATCTGTACGTCTGAAATCTCAGGCTGAACAGCTCGTCTTTCCTCTTCTGGTTCTGGCAGGAGAGACTCGTCTAGATCTTTTACTACGGGTAGATTCATCTCCTAAACATATTTTAAAAGCCTTAAAATTCCCAGGATGGACACTATGGTGGGATGGACTGAGGAACATGGGCAACTAACTCTTGTCACATTTAACTGGCAGCATGGGCAAGGGAGCACAACTAATAAGGATGGGTATCACTAAAAATTTCGTATCGCAATATATCACGAATTTTCCCAAAATATCACGATAATATCATATTTTTACAAGCAATTTTACCAATGATTTTAAATGAACAATCATTATTTTTCTTTAAAATATGCTAGAAAAACAAAATTTGACTTTTCTGAAATTTTTATGTTAATAAAATTCATCATGTTTAGGTGATAAGATGCCATTCTTTTCACATTTTACAACTTTTTTATAGACTCTCTGTAATTGTAATTTGAAAGATTGAACAAATAAATAAATAATTTCTGGACTTTATAATATGTTACCTAAATACAGGTATTAAGGTCTCTGTAACACGATACATATCACAAAACAAATCAAAGTACTCAGAAGTACAGAGAGCCGGGCTCATTTAAAGAGTAGAATGGATTTCCTACATGAATCACGTTTACATTCTGATGAAAAAATTATCTTAAAACTATTAATATAAATGATAAGACACTGACAGTGAGTTTTCAATCCTAATACCACGGTCCGATTTTGTCAGAATCAGAATTAATCTGGTACCGCAGCTGAATGTAAACAAACAGGCCAGTCTGGTTCCCTCTCCTGCTTTACCTCGTATGTGTAGAGAACTACGGAAACACTGATTATCAAAAATCCTTACGCTAATGAACTTTGATGTTCTTTGAGTTACGAAGTTTTCAAAGTCATTACTATTAATGTTTATTTTATATAGATAAAACTTCGTTTTATTTTTGTTGCTTTATTTAGCGTTTGTATTATCTCAAAAGCGGTTAGAGTAAGAACTATATTTTTGCACGTAACTTTAAAATGGCGACTATGGGGTCAACATCCTGCCTTAAACAGGATCACATAAGCCGGCAA